GCCTATTTTTGTAAGAGTGATCATACATACAGAAAAAATTTAACGAGATAATTTATAGGGAATAATGTGGCTGAATCTTAATCATCCTTTAACACTTAGGGTATATTCTTTGTATTGGAAAGGGAATGGATGTATCGAAATCTTATTATGTTTCCTACCATTACGACGTTCAGTAAAAAAATAGATGACAGGGACTCAAATACCAAATGTAATATGATAATGGGATAGAAGCAATCTTATACGTTTAATATTTAATAAGAATATTTATCATTAATTAAATAAAAATTTTAAAAGACTACTTTCACAAACCAAAAAATTCCGGTCTCTATTTTCCTTCCTTTTTTTTTTTTTCTTTTGCCTCCATATTTTTTCAATATGATCGAGTTAATCTCTTTTATGTATACATTCCCAAATCAATTTTTTAACTTCTTCTCTTAAAAATCTCCTTTTATGTATACATTCCTTCATAGATCAGTAAAAGTACTTTGACAAAGATATGTAAATTATTATATTAAGATAGTTATTGAGAAAGTTCCCACCTATCATCATCAAAATATGTTATGCCATATTCTCCATCCCGATTAATTTTTGTCCTCTTTTAATCTATTATTTTGACATTTTTGATGGCATAAATTATCAGCTATCATTTTTATTTGATCTTATATCGTTATTCATGAAATAAATATTATACGTTTTGTTTTTTCTTTTTAATGATACTCCATCCGTCCCATAATTATTGTCTATTTTGCCGAAAAATTTTTGTCCGATTTAGCTTTTTATGGATTAAGTTACACATGTACCATTGATGTCAAGGCTTATTCAGTCCAATTCTATCTCAAGCTACAAATTGGGATCGTTTTGCCAGGGGAAAAAAAAAGCCTCTCTTTTACATCTGCAAATCCTCTCTTTAAACCTTGGCCCTTTGGCTTCTATTGTGCACCACCGATTCCAAATTCGTTGCCCCGTCTCTTCAATCCACAGCTGATTATGAATACCTTCATCTCCATCTCTTCAATTCTTACATCTTTGCACCCAATTACACATCCCTTCTACCCCATTTCTTCAATTCTTCCATCTCTGTAAAATTGTGAAGTTTTTTCTTAATAGAATTGGAATAAATAATTTCAGATGAATCCAAATTATAATCCGACATCTCAACTGAGTCAAGATAAAATTCAACTTAAGAAGAAGTTCCGCCAAATATCGAATCGAAACCGCAATCGATTCAAAGTTTCAAACCATATTTCCGACAAGAATCGCCTGGAGGAACATCTTGAAACCCAGAATAACAACTTTTCTAAATTCGAATGAATTCAACTGAAATTTTGGTTTGATCGGTCCAAGAGAATGAGATGACCTCACAAGTGAAGAAGTCTTCGCATCTATGCCGGCGAGGAACTCTCTGGTGAAATAAAAAATTATTTTATAGAAAGATCCTTTACATTCAAAATTCTTCATAAGATGATTTCATTTGATTCTAGGCGCATGAGTGAAGACAAACGAAGGTGATGCTTGTGTTTTGAACTGAGTTTGATTTTTGAAATGGGGTCTGGTGTGAGAAAGAAGCAACGGAAGTTGAAACCTTTGCCAATTAAACCATGTATGCTAGAGGTGTTCACGGTCTAGATTGGTCCGGATTGATAGCAATCTGTAACCAAACCATTCGTTACGGTTTGAAAAATTTTCAATCTGTAACCGGACCGGATTGGTGTATAATCCGGACCAATCCAATCCGTTTTTAATGGTTTGGTTTGGGCGGATTGGCGGTTTGGGCTTCTAATTGGACTTTTTCATTTTGAGCAAAAAATTAAATATTTTTTTGTTATTGGACCTTTTTTGGGGGCTTTTCCTGAAATTTTTTGGGCCTTTTTAGCATTTTTTTTTGAGGCTTTTCTTGAAAAAATAAAATAAAATATAGTCCATGGGGGATTCGAACACACGACTTTCAGCAAGGTCTAATGTAGAGGGAACAACAACAATGCCAATGGACAACTTAGCACTTTCGATAAAAATCTCTATCCGCCGCTATATATACAAAATCAATATATTATTATTTTATAATATATATACGGTCCGGTCCGGATTGACAAACGGTTTCACAGTGCCAAACCGTATTTCGGACCGGATTGACCGGTTTTTAATTTTTCAATCCGCCGATTTAAAAATATAATTATAATCCGTCCGTTAATCTGAACCGATGATCGGATTGGGCGGTTTTAGCGGTTTGAGCCAAACCGTGAACACCCCTAATGTATGCATGGGTATATGTGGAAGATTTGGCAAAAATATGGTTAATTTGACCAAAAATAAAATCTTGAATCTTAGTAAAATTGAACAATAATTATGGGACGGAGAGAGCGGTTCTTATGAAAATTTTAAAGTCATTGAAAAAATTATTATTTTTTCCATTCCCATTGTATATTGAGCAAAAAAAATACCGTAATGGAAAAATAATTGTGATTCTTTAACATTTCTGAACATTGTAAAAGGAATTAAAGATTCCTTTAATATATTGACTTTTCTTGACCAGGAATGACATTACCATTCTACCTTTCCTTTTCTAGTGCACAGAAGGCACATTCCTTAATGTATAAACCTTTTACGATAAAGTGTAAGTATGAACAATTATAATTCATTCCCTGTTAAAATTTCTAGTAATTTTTTTTTCACCAAATCATTAGTGTCTTTTTGTAATTGACCTACAATATGGAACACCATATTCCACGATGTAGTCAATCAGGAAAGATATGGTTTCCTAATGTACATGCCATCTCACCATGAGCTGTATTTATTTCCTTTATTTTCCTCAATTGCCTGCAAACACATTGGGTCTGACGGATTAGGTTTAAAACTCAACCATTAGGCAATTGGCATTATTCAGATTTAAAAAACTGTGGGTATCACTTCAGCCGCAATATGCATTGCCTCTGGTTTTTTCATATATAATTTGTTTTCCAAAATTTGTAATAATTATTATTAATATATTTTTCATCTCAACATGTATTTTCATATTTTTAAATTTATTGCAGAAAAAAAGAAGACACTGAAAAAATTTCAGACAGAGAAAATTTGAACTCCAGCTAGCTCGCTCCGTTGGTCATTGTATTACGTTGATGACATCTGGAATCAAAGCCGTTATTTCTTCATATACCAATGATGATATGTAGCGTTAAGTGAATTAATTATGCCTAGTCTTGTGAGTGTCGACAATATTGATCGATGGTAATTCATAGATAAATTTCTGTGTATAGAAGTTCATGGGGTTCCACCTCAAAACCAATTGGCAATGAGAGGAATAGCACATATACTTGTATATTAATATCAACTCTCTCTCACCACCGATGTGGGATACTCAACACTCCCTCGCAAGCCCAATGTCTCTTCTTGGGTTGGACTTGTCAGCCGAGTCACCGCCTCACGTCTCAGCCCTACCAGTTCTATCACATCAGGCTTGGAGTCCGACTCTTGGCAGGCTGGCTCTGATACCATGGGTTCCACATCAAAACCAATTGGCAATGAGGGGAGTAATCCATATACTTATATATTGATATCAACTCTCTCTCACCACCGATGTGGGATACTCAACACTGTGACCATGATAATAATTTGAAAGTGTATTAAAGTTTTTATTTTTTTTTTGTAACTAATTCAACATCATTTTACTTCTTATTTACTTATGCATCGATCAATTCCACATTACTCATTGTCTCACATTTGTAAGAAATTAAAATTCACTTTTCTAGTACTATCTAGTGAAATACTCCATTTGTCCTTTAAAAAGTCCATTTTAAGTTTTTCAATTTATTCTAAAAATAATAAAAACTTTTAAAATTCAATATAAACTTTTTTGTTGAGACAGAATAATTATTATTTTATTTAGTTATTGATAATATTTTTAATATATTTGATCATAAACTGTATTGAAAAAATCCAACCCAATGAACGTCACTCACAGATAAATATTATAAACCCACCTCTTACTATCTCGAATGAGAATCTCTAGATATCTTAAAAAATCTATTTAGAGGCTTATTACCGGACAAGACTTCACTCCCATTTGATTGATAAACTCATTCTACCGCTTCTCCTACTGTTAGAAATTACTGATGCTCCCTTTAATCCTTTCCTGAAAGTGTCCCATTTGTTCCATTTCAACGAAACACAATACAATCATTAAGTAAGGGGTGAGTCTAAATGGGCAAAACAATCTTTTCGTCAAAATAGTCCACTTACGTAGTATTAATTCATTAATTTATTATAGAATACAGTTGTAATAAACATCTTTCAATTCCACGCCAGCAGGAAAAAAGATATTAAAGAAAAACCATGGAAGCAAAAATAAATTTGTAATATTCCCTCTATTCTAAAAATATTGTCTAGTTTAGATTTTATTTTTTATTTAATTTATACAAAATTAAAAATTCAAAATGGATAATAATTTCAGGACGTAAAAAATATTACATTACAATGTTTTTTTTTTGGGCTAAAACTGTATATCCTGTGCGTTATTTTTTTCTTTTTTCCCTCAATACTCTTCTTTATGTCTTTGGAGCTATTTGACCCAGAAATCTTTGGATCTCCCTTTTGATCAAACTCGATGAATGTTTAATACCGTATGTCCACTAATTAATTAGAGCAAAGTAGTATAAACAAAAGACACAAGTACTGATCCACATCAAGTGAACTTTTTCGTGCTTAATTATATAGTCTTATTTACATTACTAATTTTCGTGTAATAATTATTGTCAAACTCTTTGCATATTGGACACGCGCGTCCAAAAAACACTTTATCTTTTGGTTCATTATGGTTTTTGTTTATTAGGCAAACAATTTTTTTATATTAGATATATATAATAAAAATACATATATTTGTCAAACAACTTGCTATACTAAAGGAAATGATCCAAAGGCTATATATGAACTTCACATGCCGGAGCGAAAATTGACTTGCATTCATTAGAAAAAAAAAATTTTTTAAAAACAAGAAAGAAAGAAAAAAGATGGCCGGGGGCAATGGCATCATCTTCACCATGAATACAAACTGTTTGAATAAACACAAAATATTCCACCACCGCTTTCACGTCTATTCCGTTTGCAATCGCGGCACCGCCGGTGAAGAAACAAAATTCCCCGTGCTAGGGCGTCATCGTCGTTTTAGCTCACTCTCCGTGTCGTTTCAAAATGGAAACGGCGGTAGGCCATCGTCTTCGGCAGGATTGATCACCTGGGATGATGTATTTCGAGCTTCTGAATCCACCAACAATCCTAATGATGATGACCTTCAAGGCTTCTTCCGTAAGATTGAACTCTGCAACCGTGATCATGTGCGTGTTAGACTTATGCAAATTTCATAGCTCTTATACAAATTTTCTCGGCCCTAAAATGATGTTTTCATTTTTGGATTTTTCACTTTTAGTACGTTTTGACTAAAAGAAAATGCGAACATGGCAATAATTTCGGAACTGACCAAAACTACGTGTATTATCATTTTCGTCGTTAACTCAATGAATGATTTTTATTTTTATTTTTTTTTTGGGCGGGATTGAACCCAATATTTCGCGCAGGAGAAGCTGCATCAAGAGTTTCTGCCCTTTGTTGTTGAGGATCATATTGTTGGTTATGTGCATTACGAGTAAGTATTAGTTGCTTAATTCTTTCTTTTTATTATTTACCACGACCTCGAACAATATTATATTTCCAACAAAAAAAAAATTAGTAACGTGTGCTAAACGGCTAAACCTAATATCGAACAACAAACATGATTTTTTTATTTATTCGATAGAAATTAATAATTGATATTGAATGTATGCAAATTTATTTGTTACGAAATAGATTACAGTAAAGTACTAGTAAACTCCCAAACACTTTACTGAAGCCTTTGTTTTCAAGACCAGAGTCGCAGAATAAACAGATAAACTGCATTAATCGAGAATTATAAAAGGAAATAAAACTAGTACCTTGTATCAGAAGAAAATGGAGGGATTAGTAGCCTGATCGATGAGTATATTCTATAGGGGGTTTGATGCAATTAATGTACGCCATTAATTATTTTATTCATACATACTATATAGGTTTGCAAAATATCTAAGGCAATTTAAAGATGTGTTCATCTTTCCCAAGTACGAGACCTGCTGTGGGAGTAGTAAATTCAGATGCCATTTCACGTTTCATCCAATGCTGAGGACTGCTGAAGACAGGACAAGAGCCGTTGGTGGTGTTATTCAAATATTGGGAGACCAAAATGTAATTCCAGGAATACGAAATGAGGTATATACCATCCACATCTATACACGTTGCTTCCTGTTCTATCATTTTTTTTTTTTAAAAAAAATTACTTTTTATATCTTTTTTACTGCATGCATGCTCATGACTTACTTTATACATCATCTTATATATTACTCTCTCTGGTTCACAAAAATAAAAATCTTAAAATTTATTATGTATTATTTTTCTAATACGGAAAAAATAATAAAATAGAGTACTATTTCTTTTATAAGTACAGAAGATCGAAATAGTAATTTCAAATGTACGAGCATGCATATTCTATACCTCACCACACAATAAGTCCTACAAATCAAGTGCAGTTCGTATTTCGGTTCAATAAATCAGATTGCTTTCTAGGAATGGATGAGCGATTGAGTAGCTGGTTATCTTTTATTTACTAGGTGTAAGTATACTTTCTGATAATCTTTTTTATAAATTTTTGCATGATTCCTTTAATTTGAGCCAGCTATATCCTGTCACATCATCTTCCAGTAGGGGCACTTTTTTCTTGGTTGAAAGAGCAGCTGCACCTTTCTTTGGCATCAAGGTATGTACTTTTGAGTGATGATCCTTGATTTTTTTTTTAATCACAAAAATTCATATAAATAGACCCTGCATTTGTTTATACTTTGTCCTAAAATAAGAATTATGTTAGTTGTAATAAAATAATATAACTAAACTTTTATTTTGGGACGGAATGATATGGAACGATTCAAACTAAGTGATGAGGAAACATACGTGACGTTACTTATTTTAAGAGCGCAGGATTATGAAGTTCACATGAACGGATACGTGGAAAAGGATGGGGAGATTTATCTTTGGATTGGAAAGAGAAGTGAGCTGAAACCCAACTATCCTGGGATGCTTGATCATCTTGTTGCTGGTGGACTGGTAATTTTTATTGGATTAACTTATTTATTTATTTTTAAGAAAGAAAAATGTTCATCGTATGAAGCGACTCCGTTAGACTTCTTAATTTCTAGAGACAAAATTTCACTGACAATTATTTCTCCAGACAAAAAAAAAAAAAGAAGCCCAATTTAGCCAGAAATTTGTTTAAAAGAAAGACAAACATTTGCACCTCAAACAATTAGGAGCATGTTTAAAAGAAGGTCTCTAATTTAGCTAGTTTGCCGACTTAGGAGCATGTTTGCTCTCTTTGGTAGGGATTAGGGAGCATAAATTGTTCTACCATCTATACTTTTGTTGCTTTGACTATTTTTCTCACTAGAGTATTGATATATGAAATAAAAATACTCCCGTAAAAGTTAATGTCCTGAAATTATTGTCGAATGTTATTTTAGTACAAAATACACTAAAAGTAAAAATATAAGTTGGACAATAATTTTGGGACAAAAATTATGATTGGACAAAATCAGAGCTTATACTTCATCCTTAAAAATTTAAGAATAGTATAAGTTAATGGTTTTAATTGGTGCACTGTTGGTAAATGATCATATTTCGCAGCCATATGGTGTTTCCTGCAAAAAGCATCTTGTTTTGGAATGTGAAGAGGAAGCCGGAATACCAAGTTCAATTTCCAGCAAGTAAACTAAACTTTCATCTTCTTTTTTTTTTTTTCTCTTCTAAATAAAGAGCTAGAAAAAACAAAGAAACTTTTGATTTTCAATTTTGTGTTACTACGAATTGTACGGGATGGAATGTTAGTTTGTTATGATCCTTCCTGATATTTTTATTATATGTATATATATGCAGAGCCAACCCAGTTGGAGTGGTGTCCTATGCAGACGTTGATGAACTAAAGTTCAGAAGAGATGTGGTTTTTTGTTATGATCTAAAACTACCTGAAGATTTTGTTCCCAATAATGAGGGTGAGCTCTTCTCTTGAACTTTATACAAATATCTAGGATTAGGCGCAACAATACTGGTTAAGAATTTCATATTAATAGTTGCGGAAGAAAGAAAATTAATAATTTATGCTTTATATGTTAATCAACAAAATTACAGATCACTCTTGATGTTGGTCCGTCCTACAAAAATAGAGCTAAATGATAAATTATATCAAAAAAATAAAAAAAAATTATAATTTACAATGTGGACTTTCTTTTCTTTTCTTTTTGGGTGAAATGGAGAGTAAACAAAATTACAAATAACTGTTAAAACCGATTCAACATGTCAAAACGGGGATGAAATTAAATTTTTTAAGAATAGAGAAGTATATAATCATCAATCTTTAGAACATTTAATTGCAATATATTTTAAAAAATTTTGAAGGTGTTCACCATCAACCACACAGTGAATTATTTTAATCGCTGAATTGTATGCAAAACTATTTTATTAGTAAAATTAAATTATAAGATTTTATTTTATTCTTATAATTATGTTCTTAAATAATGGATCCGTGCCAAATTAATTTGAACACAACCTCTCGTGCTTGCAATCCCCACCTTTACCGCCCTTATATTTACTAAAATAGGCTACAAGATAATATATAATTTAAAAATTTCCGTAAACAATTATAGAATTTATATGGGAATATAATCATATACGTCCATGTACATTGTATATTTTTATTATTTTCATTTGGTACCAAATAAAATTAAACTTACATTAAAAAAAAAAATCTATTCTATTTAACTCACATTGTTTTCCACTTTTTTTTCCCTCTTTAATCCCGTATTTCCTCCTCTTTAAACTCATGCAAACAGATGGAGAGGTGGAAGGCTTCAAGCTGGTTCGCTTAACACAAGTTGCCAATGTAATCAAGAGCACAGGTCTTTTCAAGCCAAATTGCAACCTTGTTATCATTGACTTCCTTTGCCGGCATGGGTACAAAACTCCCTCCCCATTTAATTTATTTTTATTTGGAAATTTAATAAATAAATAAAATAAATTGAGTGCTAAAATTTAACCTCGAACCTTTTCAGATACATTAAGCCTGAAAGCTCTGGTTATTCAAAGCTACAGCGGAGTCTGAGATGTGGAGACTGCTCCTGAATTGCTATTCTTTTGGATATTTGAGCTATCGGCACATCCTGGAATTCGCCTCTTAGTTTGGGTTGTAAATAAATCTCCATAAAATCAGACCTCTAATCATGTTACGAATTTATTGTGCGTTGCTCTTTCCAGTCTTATTTATAGGCACAAATTTTTATTATATACTTCATAATAAATAAGATGACTCTGTGTCCGATAAGTCTCTCACAATAGAAGAAAGTTGAACTTTGTCATTTTAAATTTACTGGGAGTGGAAGTCGAAGGAATTGTGTTTCTGTGGTTATTGAAATGAAAGTCCATTCTGAATTTGAAAGATCGGTACAATTTCCCGATTCCAACTCCAGAACCTCTTCTGGTGATACTGGTTATTTATTTTCAATGAAGTGACTGGGTTCAATGCCCCTAATCACTACGATAATGTTCCTCCAACTGGATAGTTCACTATCAGAATTCAGCGCACAACAATGTCCTTGAAAATTCATGCTGACCGTGACTGAGAAGTGATGAAAGATTACAGTACCACTACTACATTCTAATCTGGCAGTCACATTTAACTCTCAACTCATTTTTCGCGGCACATTTAAGTGAGAACTTAGATGCTCAACTCCCTGACTTCTGGGCTTAGTGGTTCAAAAAGAGCTTCCACCTCAGCGGAGTTGACTTCTTGCAAACTTGATGGGTTCCATTTCGGATTCTGTCAAGAGGATGCATCGGGAAAAACGTAAGCCAAGTACTAATTGATATTTCAGACTGAAAGCAGAATAAACTTCATCCAAAACTTTGATTTGATCATTGATAAAGGATAAGCACTGTATAACGAGTCAAGTATCAAACTGAGGGTTTTTCTGCCCTAACTAGCTTATTTATTAACCCCCCCGAAAGAAAAAACCATGATTTGGGTTCATCCTGCTTCGTTTAATATCATAGAGACGGGTTTTCTCCTACAAGGTGATATAATGAAAACATGAAACCAGAATCACAATCAGCAACAACTAAAACTACTAACAATCGAAATGCTTGCAATTATGAGGGACTAATTGGAACACAATGAAGAGAACTATTTTTAAAAGAATTAATCTTTGTGGATACCATTTTCTATATGAAGAAGGCCAACTTTACTGAATTCTAACTCCTTTTTTTTTTCTTTTTTTTAAATTCTAACTCCCTTTCCTCACCCTTCTATCTTTGTTCACAGTTAAGCAAAATAACTTAATTTGATATGATTCCATTAATTTTGGTTGTCAATAATCTGCTCCATGTTATAGTTATTCATCATGATAATAATTAGAAGAGAGACAGTGAGGAAATTCAGCAGCATTTTCTCCTCAAATACTACTTTGTGGAAACACGAACGAACAACAAAAGATAATGTATGTGCAAGAGATTATAACTATTATTCACTAAGCAAAGTGCTTGTATTTCATAGAGCAAACCTGATCCTTGTCCACTAAGACTGCACGAACACCTTCAGCAAAATCGTTTCGCAGAGACGACCTTACAGCAATTCGATACTCCATTTTCATTACTCCGGGCAGCTGGAATCAGAAAATCAAAGAACAGAAGTAACTTCCATGTCAGTGGGCAGTAAAAACTGAAGGTTACGACATACAGAAATAGAGAATAATATACCCTGGATAAGTCACTCCCGTTGTTATTATGAGCAGAAGCAACTTTGGCGAAGTATTTTTGAGTGAGGAAGAGAGAGAAGGGAGCACCCTTTTTGAGGCCTTGCAGAGCATCCTTGGCCCAATCTGCCACTGATATAAATATGTGAAATGAGTGCTAAGCCTTAACACAAGTTCATTACACCTCATAAATGATCTAAATCAACTTAAAATAACATACTTCACAAGTCACAAGTAAACTAGAGTAGCCCGACATGAATGATACTTCCAATGATTAAATCAACAACAATCATGGCTTACCTAAAGTATCACCACTCTCCTGATGCTTTTCAAGCTCTTTTATTATCTCTTGGACGGGCTTGCTACCACTAAAGGTTGAAATAATTCGAGGTAAAAGCAACTTAAGACGGGGCTCTGACTCAGGATTGCTGCTGTATTTTGCCAGTATCACTCTGATATCTTCATGTGCATCCTCGGAGCTACATCAAAATGCACAATTTCAGGATAAAGTACATAAGGGAAACAATCCAACTGAATCCCCTTGGAAAGCAACTGTCAATGTAGGATTTAATAAGAAAGACCATGCAGAGCTAATGAAGTTAAAGGCCCACAAATCATATAGAATTCTAAGATCATTCTTTAGAATTGCAACAAACTGAATGCTTGATAGATTGTAGATTCATTAACCATTAATAATCCCCATAACATGGCAAAATATTGAAGTGATTCAATTGTGTTACATCTAAGAACTAAAATATTCTAATGAAATTATAGACCCAAAATACAAAAGAAAATAAAGAAGGCATTGGCTTACAAGGAGGTTCCCAAAAGATCCTCCTTCAGGGATCCCAATTTTCCAGAATGTACATAGTGGGTTCCAAGGCCCACAAAAAGTGCATCAGCAGGAGTTGATATTCTACTTCCTGTCAGTCCAAGGTAAGCCCCTGCAAATAACAGAACCAGAAAAGATTGAAAACAGAAGTCCATGGATGACTCGGACGTGGTTTTTGAACATTCTTTTACATGAGGTACAACTTGTTTCTTCAACATACTACAAATCAAATTATGATTCGGAAAGGCCATGGTTGAGAAGCTGAGAGTCTACATTTACATATTATGTTAAAAGTCAGCTGCAGGAGAAAGAGTAGCAGGCCATACCGACAGCGCCTTCTCCTGGGCTTTGTGCTGCAATATAAGAGAAACCAACATCTGGGAACAATCCTATCCCATTTTCTGGCATAGCTAGAACAGTCCTCTGCATGTATAGTTGAAAAACAAATTAACAACACGAAAAACAGAAAAATGCATTAACTTTCAAAAAGAAAAAGCCATCTAATAAAATTGATCAAAACAAACCTCAGTAACAAGCCTGTATCGCCCATGACCAGAAAGGCCTATCCCAAATCCCATTGTGATGCCATCCATGAAGGAAATGTACGGCTTTTTGTATGAAAATATTTTGCAAATTAATGAATATTCAGCAGTGAACACCTGTTGCATTATTGGAATGATACACATCAAGTTCCAGAAAGACAATATACCAGAAAGCATTTATTTTTACTTAATCTCAGGTTTATCTAAGCAAAGGAATGAGAATCTGGCTATTTGAAAACATTTCACTAAAATACCAGTGGTATATCACCAGATAAAAAGGTGCATATGGCTACTATACCTATCAAAACAAATCCTAAGATTCATATAATTGCAGGGGCCGATAAGATGGAATTTTTTTTGTTCTAATGAAGACTTTATACACAAAACAAGGGTCCTAAGATAATATCACGGGGTAACTAAGCAAACATTTTTAGATGTGAAATCCTAGAACCATTTCATTTTGCATACAATCACTTTATAATTTCATTTAGCAAAGTTGATGTGGAGTTGAAAGCTATCGCCTATGGTTGATGAACCACACAAAACCTCAATCATATCTGACTGTTGTTTTTTTCTTGAAATCTGCTTGACATCTCCACCTGCACATATAATTACGCACTAAGCTCTACAATCAATCACCCATATTAAAATCCGCAGCATGCTAACAAAATTAATACCATTTAATTTTTAAGGTCATCAGAGAAAGCACAAGAAGCGAAAACGTTCAAGGACTCTCGACAATCATCTAGAAACGAACGTTTGAATAAACATTCAAAAACTTAACACATCAAGAGTTCTGCATTCAATAAGGAAAAAAAAGAAAAAAAAAACCTTTTGGACAAGAGGTGTGGTTTTGTCCTTTTTGATTTCAGCAACAACCCCTTTAATATCCATACCTGCATTAGTAACGAGGAGTTACCCCTCAAAAAACCTAACCAACACTCCAAATAACAGAAACATAACTCCACAAGGATCATGAAGGCAGTACTACTTCGATTCCATAATCTCTCCATATTAAAACAACAATTAAGATCATTCCGACAGTATCAATTAAGTCATAAAGACATTATGTACCTGCTGAAAAGGCGCGAGCAGAGCTACTCTCAACCAGTACACACTTAACTTTGGGGTCTTCTTCCCATTCATCCAAAAAACTCTTGTACTTGATATCCATATCTTCAAACCAAAAATATCAGTCAAGAATCAAAAACTTAACTACTTACTCAAACTCAAATCACATTTCAATTTTTTTTTTCTTCATCCAATAATATTCAAATACACGTCAGAATGAAATCAACCAACAAAAAAAAAAAAGTAATTAAGAAGGAATTGGAAACATTTACCAAGGTTCATGGCGTTGAGGGCTTTGGGACGATCGAGAGTGATGACAGCGAGGCCGTTGGGATGAACAGTGCCTTTAACGAACTCATCGGTTGAGGAAGCCATAGCTGAAAATGCTCGAGCGGGACGGAACGGCAACGTATTGGAGAAAGCTCTGTGGAGAGAAGATGGGGAGTGATGAAGGAAGAGAATGGCAGATTGATTAAGCTGCTTTACCAGAGTTTGCATCATTTGATTTGATAAGTTTTTGCTTTCGAATTGATTTTTTTAGGAAAGTTCAATGACTCATCACTCCCCCCCGATCTTCAGTGATTCTGTCAGTTACTCCGGTAAATAATTTTCTCTGTAATTTAGGCTTGATATTTGCGAGTATTACGGGGATGCCCCTTCTTTCTATTTTAGAGATTTGGGCTCTTCCATGATGCATTATGTGATGAAGTGGGCTTCTATTGCATCATCTCCAGTAATCTTTGAACAATGTCAAGTTCGTAATCTTTTCATCAGAACTAGATGAGGGGTTTATTTATATACATTATAAAAAATCAACAAAAAAAATATAAAAAGTGTAAAATGTATTTGGAGTTCATATTAAGATACATTACACAACTAAAATTAAATAAAGGCATAATTGTAAAGATAAAATAATGCTTATCATTTGAAATGCAAGTGTGCACTTGATTTTTATTGAAGGAGAAGAACTGGACAATAACACTCATAAGCGGAGTAAAATAACTAAGATTGTATTAATGTTACATATTGAATGAAAAGATAAAATGATTGTACGCGTAAAATACATAATGAAATAATTATCAATAGTGGATGGTAGATTATGTGTGATTGAAGTGTGAAGTTTAAAATTTTTATAGTTATTTTGTTGTAATTAAAGATTCTATGGTACTGTTTGGCCCAATACTTAATATTTTAGAGCAACAAACCAACTGTAGAGTTAAAATTTTTGCCATTTAATCCCTTTTTGCTTTGACAATAGAAAATAATAATTAATGAAATAATGAAATTATGGGTAAAAAAACATAAATTTAGTAACGTCTAAAAAAGAACTCTAAAATATCATTTTGCAGAAGAATATACAGAAAAAATTCATATATAACCTTAATTAACCATAACATCCCATCCCACACGATCGACCCACTATTAGTTCATCACTTTCAGAACAACAAACCAACTGTAGGCTAAAGTTTTTGCCATTTCATCTTTGGATTTCGGGTAGTTTTGGGGAGGGAGAAATTTTTGCAGTACTGGAACATACTCATGGTTTGTGTGGCATGTGTAAATAGAGATAAATTGGGATTGATGATAGTTGATTATCCAAAATTTCAGTGATAAAGATAAAGTTTATAACAATTTTTGAGATATTATTAAGGAAAAATTATATTTATTTGGGTAAATAAATGCATTGGTTTGAAATTCAAAAGATAACATTTAATTATAGTTAAATCTCATCCTTTTAGTAATAATTGAAGGCAAATTTTGTACCTTTTTCTTCTTTTTTATTGACGAAAAATACAGGGTCATGTTTTTGGGAGAAGATTTTAAAGATAACATTAATGTTGAATGATTGGTATTTTTTTTTTGAATTGTAGTCTATTGATTTACATGATTGGGAGAGAGATTTTTTTTTAGAGAGATTAATTAAATGAGTCCAGTAGTAACTTTGGGGATTCTTTTGGGGAGAGAATAATTCTGGTGCATTAATGCTCATTAATCCCGTCCATTAAATTTAATTAATTTTTATTTTTCTATTTTAAACTATAGTTTTAAAATGCCATTTGATAAAACTTTATTTACATAAAATTTGAAGGACTATTAGTATAATTGTTGCAAATATTTTTTGACTCAACCATTAGAAAAATGACACATATGATTTTGTCCTATGTGGCACCTTTAGAATTCTTTTTTGTTTTCTCTCTCTGGTTTCTCTCTTAGTATAATATACTATAGATGTTTGGCTATAGTATCTTTGAAAAAAATGTTTTGTTTTGATAAATTTGAAAATGCATACTCCATGTTTTTTTAAAATACATTGTGCTTTGGGTTTATTTCAAAATGTACGTTATTTTAATATTTTAAGACAAATTATTTACTAATTTTCTAATTTTAACTTCAATAAATAATGTCAGCCATTTTTTCATTTAATCTTGTTTATATTTCTAATAATATATTTTATGAGAGAGTCTAAAAGATATGTCATATAAATTATTGCTTAGGTTATATAGAAAATCAAAAAGCGACTTAAATTTTAGAATGGAGGGAGTATGACTTGTCAAGAGTTGCCATTGCATAAATTTTGAAGGGGTTCATCCACTGTATAATTTGAAAATTCATCCTTTATGACTATGGTTAGTACAATTATTTCTTATAAATAGGATTGGAGGGATTATCATCTAATCTTTAACTACGTCATTGTGATTTAGTTTTAAGTTATGCCTTGAAAATGAAACCAGAAGCTATAGCTGCGACCTGCGAGTTCGACATTGTATTGGATGGTTCCCTGTTATAACAAATTGGCAAAATGAGACACTTACCAGCGTATGCACTATCTGTTGGCCCGGTATTCCCCTCAATTGGGTCAACAAGGAAACAAATAAAACCAAGCCAAATTTGGCTTTGGTTTTAGGAAACAAAACCCACTCCAATTGGGTTTTTGTTTTTAGGTTTTTTTGCTCTATAAAAGCAAGGCTTTGGCATAATTTTTAGGTGTGTGTTTTCAGCCAAGAAGAGAAGAAAATTTTTGGTAGCCGTGCATTGTTTTTGTACGAGAGAAAAAGAAAGAAAGCTAGGGTTTAGTTTTCGGTTTAGCTCTCTTTTGGTTAGATCCTTCCAGTCCTACTTTGTGATAGGTGTTTTGGAAGAGTATTGTTGTAATCCACCTTTGGGTGAAGTCCTGTGTATCCACCGGTTGGTGAAGACTATTTTCCCATTATTGTGATAGTGGAGATTTGTCTGTTGTTACAGTCCAGTGGTTTTTCCCGATTTGGGTTTTCACGTAAATTTGTGTGTCTACTTTACTTTATCAGTTCTTGAATTAGTTGCTTGTTTGGTTGGTTGTCCTATTTTATTGGTAGTAGGAAAGGAGATTTTCTTGGGGTTCGCTTCCATGGTTTGTTGTGTTTATACCCTTTCCGCCACAACAGTGGCATCAAAGCTACGGTTCGGTAGTTGAGGTATTACACCAATAAAACGGAAGAGTCATCGGGTACTGGTACGATGATTTTGACTTCATCCAATTATCATATGTGGAAGCCTAGAATGGAAGACTTATTGTATTGCAAAGATTTGTTTGATCCTGTTCTAGGGGATGAAGGTAGGCCAAGTGATATGACTGATAAAAAGTGGGCTGATATGCACAGGAAGACTGTTGGTAATATTCGACAGTGGTTCGATCAAAGTGTGTTTCATCACTTTTCGGGAGAAACAAAAGCTGATGAACTTTGGAAGAAAATCCAGAATATGTACTTGGAAGAAGTCCAAGCATCAATAAGTCATCGCTACCAAAGCAGTTACTGTGTTGAGGTACAAAGATGATGCTAGCATAAATGAGCACTCGAGTTCGTTTCAAGGTTTGTTGAACCAAGCTGTGAATGTAGGTTTAAAGTTGGATGATGAGGTGCAGGCTTTGTTATTGTTTAGTTCTCTTCCAGACAGTTGGGACACTTTGGTAGTGTCAATCAGTAATTCAACTTAGGATGGTGTCTTGACCTTGGATCAGGTCAAAGAGGCTTTGATGAATGAAGAAGTCAGAAAAAAAGAGCAAAGTATTGAGTCTGAGTAGCAGGCTCTGGTGACAGAAAAGTCAGACATAAGAGGGAGAAGTAAAAGCAGAGGGCCACGTGATCGGAATGACAAGTCCAGGGGACAGTCTAAATCCAAGAAAGATGTTGTGTGCTACCATTGTCAAGGGAATAGGCACTTTAAGAGGGAGTGCAAGGTTCTCAAGAGAGAATGAGCAGCGAGAAAAGGTAAAGACAAGAAGGATGAATCAAGTGATGATGACACTACTGCAGTAGTAACTACTAGTGATGTATTTGTGTACTGTGATAATGATACAATTAATGTTGCGAGTCAGGACAGTGATTGGTTCGGTGATTCAGGTGCGTCTTATCATGTGATGCCTCACAGACACTTCTTTACCTCTTACACACTTGGAGATTTTGGTCGTGTAAGAATGGGCAACCAAGCCTCATGCGATGTTGTCGGCATGGGAGAGGTATCATTGGTAACGAATACAGGTTGTACTCTTGTCTTGAAGAATGTCAGACATGTTTCGGATATGCGTCTGAACCTTATTTCTGTTGGTAAACTTGATGATGAGGGTTATCATAGCACTGAAGGTGGTGGCCGTTGGACAATTACCAGAGGGAATCTTGTTATTGCTAGAGGAAAGAAGTTGAACTCTTTGTATGTGTTAAATGCAAAGTTGAAGAATGTAGAGGTGAATGCGACTCACAATGCCTCCATTGATCTCTGGCATAAAAGGCTTGGACACATAAGTGTTAAGGGGTTGCAGATTCTTGGTAAGAAGCAATTTCTCCCAGAGGTGAAAGGTACTGCTCTAGAACCTTGTGTTCACTGTATCTATGGTAAACAACATAGGGTTTCCTTTCAAAATTCTCCTCGATCTAGAAAGTCCAGTCCTCTAGAGTTAGTTCATACAGATGTATGTTATATGAAAGATAGGTCGTTGGGTGGAGCATTGTACTTTGTTACTTTCATTGATGACTATGCTCGAAAGGTTTGGTGTTTTTCTTTGAAATCTAAAGACCATGTATTAGATGTGTTCAAAGACTTTCACCTCAGAGTTGAAAGAGAGACTGGCAAGAAGTTGAAGTGTGTTCGAGCAGATAATGGTGGTGAGTACAGGGGTCCATTTGAGAAGTATTGCCGAGACCATGGCATTAAACTTCAGAAGAGTGTTCCGAAGACTCCGCAGTAGAATGGCGTGGCAGAAAGAATGAACAGAACTATTACCGAGAAGGTTAGGTGTATGCTCTCGAATGCAAAGCTGCTTAAATCCTTTTGGGGTGAAGCCATGCAGACGGCAGTTGATTTGATCAACCTATCTCCCTCAGTTCCGTTGGATGGTGATCTACCACAACGAGTTTGGACAGAGAAAGATGTCTCATTTAGGCATTTGCGAGTTTTTGGTTGTCGTGCCTTTGTTCATATTCCAAAAGATGAAAGGACGAAGCTTGATAGCAAATCCAAGAAGTGTGTATTCTTGGGGTATGGAAATGATGATTTTGGGTACAAACTTTGGGATCTTGTAGAGAAAAAAGTTTTCAGAAGCAGAGATGTGATTTTCTTT